GTCCTTTTCTCACAAAAGTGACAGCGCGTGGTCGTGGTCTCGGTGTCGTGTTTCCAAAGGGTATAAAACTATCGAAACCAGGATGGCTTTTCGTTCTAAACTCACCATCTTCTTGCAAGGTCCATGGTTCTTGAACCATGACTATGTGCACTTCTGCATCCCAAGCTTGTTGCAGCGCTATGTCCATGTTTGGTCCACCCTTTCCCACGTTCACATGGTGAAATAGAAGGGTGCTATATTTTTGGTTGTGCTTATGAGAATTTGGTGTATTACTCATTATCAACCATCGTTTCTTCTGGTATATTAATGACCTCGCGGGCCTTACCTTTTTCTTGAGATCTTAATATAGCAGCCTTAAAATCCATATGTCCGCGTTCTCGAATAACTCGCAGCTCGGCCGGTGATCGGGGCGTTACTTGTCCATTGTATCGCCTTGGCCGGGCCATGCAGTCCAAGTGAGTAGACTCGTGCGGTCCAGCACAGTTTGAACATTTGGGGATGTTTGCCGAGCATTCGGCAGCTTCGTGCGAGCCAGAACACTTTACACAGCGCTGTCCTTTGACGCAGTTTCTTGTTGAATGATAGCCCCAGCAGCGTTGGCATTGCTCGATGGGGCGCCTACGAGAGAATGGTATGGCAGGTCCACTCTCGTCGAATAGTCTAAACCTTAAGTTGGAAGGTGCTTGTTTAAAGTGCACGATCCAGCTAGTGGAATACTGTCAAAACTTTGTATCGTTTGGGCGCACCTGTATTGGCATGACGCCGCAAGCTGCCTGGCATTCCATCTTCACCATTTCCCTGATTACTTCAATTCTTCCGTCTAATGTACGGATGTAGATTGGGACATGCGGTACCATTACGGATGTCCAGTCTGACGCCGGCTCGATTGTGATTTCCTCTTTTTGGAGTGAAGGACCCACACCCAGAATTGATTCCCTGAGTGCATCTGATGCGCACTCCATTGCTAGGCCAGACCTAACTTGTGTCATTGCTATGACTGCTGAGGGTGCAATCCCAGCTTTCTCTGTGACAATTTTCTTGATAGTGGCTGGTGATAACTTGCGCCACTGATGCTCTCGTCCCATTCGAAGAAAAAGTCGTTTATCTTCTTTGGGGGGTTCTTTTTCTGCTGGTCGTGTCTGCACAATAGGCCTTCGTTTGACCAGGTTGGCTGGCGGGTCTGGGAGCTTGGCCGCTTTTCGTGCCACTGTGACCCAGGGGGACTCAGCCACTTGAGGCTTTTTCGGCAGTTCATGAGGCGGTTTCTCGTTTATCTTTGTCACCCTTGGCACAGAGGTTTTCATCTGAGTGGCTTCGGGGAAAGGGTTCTTACATGAGTTGTATGTGGCGTTGACGTTGCTTATTGCAAAAGCTGTCACAATAGGTGAAATATTTTCAATAAAAGGCGCGATTAAGGCCGCACCATCGGTTCCAGCCTTGGATTTCGCCCAGGTGTCGATATTCTGCAGGAATTCTTGAGCTAGGCTCATTCGCTGCTTTCTGTCGCGTTCTGATTGCTCCATTGCGGCGGCAATCCCAAGAAGGCTCGGGTGTAGGTCGTTGCCTGGGTCGATTGACGCCGAGGACGACGGCTGGTTGTACGCAGCCATGATACTGCTTGATTTTCAGGGTTTGGACGGATGGATATAGTAATTATGCGTGTGGAATGGAAGAAGGATTCCCGGTGTTGCATCTAATGGATGATGACGGTGATGATGTAATGAGTATAATTGTCACTAATAAGATTATACTTCATTCCCAACATCTCCCAAAAACCTGGTAGTTGTTGATAACATGGAGTACAGAGATAAGTTAGGTGATGGCTATAAGCAATTTTTAATGAAGGATTTGTTGTAATTCTAGCAGTCCTGCATCTGTTACACGAGTCATGTACTATCTTATTTCGTTTCCGTTTTTCGTATCATTTAATACTACGTCATGTAGAGACATGATTCATTCATGAGTTGATATTGTTCAGACGATCATGACTATATCACAACATCATGTACAGACACGATTCATCGTTTGTACCTGTTGTATCAACCATGACTATGTCTCAGACATATAAGAAACATCATTGACTAGTTACTAGAAACCTAATCAAGATCCTAAACACACAACTGAGACTATGAGAATTTTACTGAGTAAGTAATTATTCTGATGAATCTAGATCTAGAGGAACATAATCTGGCTGCTTGGCTCGAGGTATATGAACCTGAGCATATCATGTGTTATAAACTATATAGAAATCTATCTCAATCACAATCATCATCTTAATTCATGTCACCATCAATAGCTGCACAGGACAGTTTCACCATTTCCTTTTATACTATGCCACCTCAATTTTCTGTAATATTAGTGTCAGGCTCGTGGGCTAGTTCGGAGATCAAGGGTCGGAACAGGACGGAGTCGGGACGGATGTAGTCGAGACAGGATGTGATCTGAACGGGACGAGGGCGAGACAAGACGAAGGCGGAACGGGGCAGAGTCGGGGTATAAGGTAAAGCTTATGATAATCGGATCAATCTGAAGTCTAGAATATTTACTAGACAAAAAGCTGCAGAACAAACACAGTCCTAGACCTTCCTTAAGTACTCAAGAGCGGCTACTACAATCAGAGGTATGATGGTCTACAGCTATAATATAGCAACTGATTGCTTATGTTGTTTAGTAACTGTTGCTATCACAACATTGTAACCATTTCAACGCATTGACTATGTTACTAGGGAAGTTCCTGACTTGGTTGACCAGACTAAACGCAGCATCTCAGCATTAGCCCATGGCACAATGGTAGTAACAAGCAGGCCGTTTCCATTTTGGGAAAGCCGGTCTGTGACAAGCATCGAGTATTTATACACAAAGATAATACACACAATACACCATCAATAGCAATAACCCCCAACCATTCAGCCATTCAACAACTATGTCATTAGACATACCTGCGTCATATTATCATGTATGGTTGAGATACTGTTGTTGTCATTGCTGTGTGTCGACGACATATCATTGACACAGGATCGCTTGTCCTGTCGATTACACTTGCCTTATACTAGCCATTCCAAGTTATGTGATCTATATGTGGGCCTGATCACAACAATTACAAGTGTATTTTATTAGAGCTCAATTCTACAAAATATGGCATTTATCTACCGGAGCCTTTGATGCCCATAGCCATCCCAACCTGCCTCGCCACAGATATCCAAGTTTCCCTGCGCTGTCCATCAAAGATAAATTTCAAAGCCTCATCTTCTTGCCCAAGAACACCTTCTTCACCCGTCAATACCTCACCGCGAGTAATATGACTAAGAATGGCTGGATTGGAAGCAGTCGTCCCCCATCTCAAGTGGGATAGCTGTCTAAAGAGTCCGCAGTCAACTTGGAAGGCCTCGTTGGCAGACATACCACTGCACCATTCAGTCAGGATGACGCTCGTAGTGTCGCCTGCACCTGTGCATATCAGATCACGGCGTGCACAATTCTTTTCAACGCGAGTATTCCGCCGGTGGTCAACGGCTCATCTGTAAAATATGTTCATGCGTAGCGTCATCTTTCATGTGCATCTCAGAGATCTGCCGCGCCAGATGTGTGCGACTTGATTTGGGTCCTCTCGCTGGTGTTTAGAGGCCGGGTAATACGCTTGACTGGCTTGACCATTGCTGTGACTCTTGATATGTAGATTCACCATATCGGATCATACGGATTGATGAAGTTTTTGCCTAATATCCATTTTTTTGGGGCATTTATTGGCTCTGGGTGAACATTCCACTCCCAGCTTTGCAGAGGAGTGGGTGGTCGGAAGTCCCAGCTCTGTTCCCCACAACACCTTAATCTCGTCTCGCTGCCTGTGCTTGAAGGGCAATACGCGCCCGTCGAAGATTACTCGCGTCGCCTCCGCCCTCTCTTGCCAGCATAGAAATGTAAATCAGATATTTTAGTAACAGATCAATCCTTGAATCCTCCGCGAGCTTAATCAAGCCGCGCCAAGGTGTACTCACAGGCCGACGTCTGGCTCTCACACAGCCGCATAGATTGATGAGCTGCAAGAGACCTTTTCCGCCTCGCACCATGTACATCCTGGCGAATTCAAGTTGCCACGCCGTGGTGCTACTCTCCAGCCACCTGCTCAATCTAGAATCACAAGCTTGCGCATTTGCTCTTCGGATTCTTCTACTATGCGGGTGCGGGAATCGGCAGTGTGTGGTTGCGGGTGTCACTCATCATTGACTATCAGTTTGAGACGGATAAATCCCTGTATCATGGTCTCAGACACCAAAATATCGCAAGAAATGAGAACTTGTAAGGCGTGGCAATGAGTTGGGGGAGCTATGTAGGAGTAACAAGAGGGGATATACCAATAGCAGAGGTATTCCTGGCCTATAGGTAGAGAGTGCCCATACATCTTGTACATTCTCAGACTCAGAAAGTACAATAATAAAAATTGCATAGGTATTGGGTTATGATTCCTTTAGATGGATAGAACAGTGTGGCTGGGAGTAGATTCGATAGAGGAAAGGGTTGAACAAACGTATACTATCACTACAGTCTCAGCATTCCCTAAGAGTGCTACAGTCTAGTTCGCACCAACGTAACACTACTAGGCTCATTCATGCGCGAATATGGAACTTTTAATACAGGGTATATGAGATCTCCAAACACCTTACCCGTTTCACTCCCAAGTAAACAATAATCATAGCTATACTTCTGTTATGTGAAGGTGCAGGGACGAATGTATTTGACCAACGCCCTTATAATTCAACAAAAGGCACGAGTAGTGGTTGCTAGAATGACGCAAGATTGAAAGTTGTACAATTCAAGTCAAATGGTCCGATAACCATGCCTAGACAGTAGGACTAGTTGTTATCAGCAGAATAACTCCTCGTTATCGAGGACTGTAAGAATGGCCGATCCAGAAAGACTATAGATGACTATAAAATAAAAATTAAATTCGCATCGCTGCGGAACCTATGGCTAACAAGGGCATAGATGGCTAGGGGCTAGATTCAAAGATTTAGGGGTGGCACGCTCGCGAGCAAGTTATCCCAATTCTCACCACCCTTGCCATTATTTTCTTCGGAAAATTGATCCTCCTTCAAAACGAGTAGCTGGCGTACACCACAATAACCTCCACGCCGAGCAACTCGCTTCACATTCTCATAGAAGCCGCGCTGACGCCACACATTTTCGGACACATCTTGGTGGTGCGGCGCGAGCGGTAAAGTCAGATTCGGAGAGACACTATAACTGATCCACCTCTGGTCATCGACCAGCTGCCCGGCCACCTCTGTGCGCCGGTAATTGGGGCGAGGCATTTTTGCCAAGCGGTTGATGAGATGCTGCAAGGGTGCTAGCAATCGCTCGTATCGTTTCGCAAACGGAATCCAGTTAAAGGCACTTTCCGAGTAGGCCGTACGTACATACGGGTTCATGTAGATTCCAGAATCATACTCCCTCGCCTCGTCGCCAGGCCGATAGAGTTCGGGTAATGCAGATATATCGGCATGTATGAGACAACACTCGCTAGAATCCCAAAACGGCTCGGGCTCGGAGCGAAAACGTAATGGAAGCTGGACTTGGGCTTCGTCTTTACTAGCTTGTATGCTTGTGTTGAGTCTTTCATGATCAGATAATGATGGCGTGTTCGGGGTAAAGTAGCGGGCATCAAAACTAACCATACCCCCCCAGCAACTCTTGACACGGACTGCATCTCGACTGGCGAGGACATCATTCCGACTCACAGCCTCTCCCTCAGACGAGAACCAGGGATAAATGGGCACACCCAGACTGTAGCCCTCTGCGTCCCGCGTGGCAAAGGTGTCGTAGTACTTCCAACTCGTCGAAAAATCAGCAGCGCATGCAGCCTTATACGCTGCATTCCCGTGTTTATCTACGTTTGTACCCCAAATAAGTCGGAGGACCTCCGTTGGCTCAAAGTAGACATCGTTGATGAACAGGACCTTGCCAAACACAATGCCTTGCGTCTCCAGGTAGACAAGAGGCTCCAAGACTTTGTTTCGAACTTCTGCGAGGAAGGCGATTCTTTTAATCCTCTGTAGCCCATCGGGCAGCATTATTTTGGGCAGTTTGTCGAGCTTCACGGGCTCAGTGTCTTCGACTACGACCTTGTGATTGCATTTCAACTTCTCTTTAAGTTGGAGCAGCTCTAGCGATGGTCCGCCATATATACTGACAAAAGTTCGCTCACTTCCAATCAGGTCTATCAAAGAGAGCAGTCTGGGGCCCCATGCACTTTCAATCAAATCTCCATCAATAATATTTGCTGCGATGAAGACTTTCTCTTGTTTATTGACCTGAAACTTTGGCGCACTATTTTCCCCGTACGAGCCGTTCCAGAGTAACTGCAAACCCAATAGTCCTAACAATAGAGCCAGAAGCGAGTGTGGCCGGCAGAGACGCGAGGTTAAGCGGCGCGACTTTCGGACCAGCAAAGAGAGGTGGTGGCGGTGCTGGACTGGTTTATCTTTGAAATCATCCTCCAAATTTTCGCTATCATAGTCTAGTCTAAACGTCGGCAAACGCTCGTAGTTTGCTCGTATCTCGGCCATGCTTTATTTTCTCGTGCGAATCTTACCATGGCACGCTATGATTGTACAAAATAATACTCTGGGTAGAAATATCTGTTACATATACTATTCATGGCCTGGGCACAAGGTACATAGATTGGAACGACAGGCAATTCTCGTGGAGGTCGCAGGCGAAGGGGTTAAACTCATGGGGATAAAAGCATAATAAAGCTATTCAAGGATAAGTGAGAGGGTGTAAGAGCCTTTCAAAGAGGCGGAATGACTCTTGCGATGGATGGGAGGTGGTCGCTGCACTCCGTCTAGGGAGTAAGACACGGTCGCCAGAGAAAACGAAGCTAGACCAGGTTCAAGGTAGAAGAAGACGCTAATGCGGCAGGGACTGAAGAGGATTTCGGAAGATCCAGCCTCGATGACTCGCATTAACGAGTCAATACTTTTCCACACTCTGCCCGGAAAGCTTGCGTCCATTGGAAGGCGCGTTTGTCCAAGCCGAACGTGAGTTTGTCTCAGGCCATTGCTCAACTCTTTCCAATCTTCGCGGCGCGACGGCCAAATTCACTAGAGAAGCTTAGATAGTATGAATGCTTCAAGCTGGCCATCCGAATGACCATGCTCCCGTATCATTTAGCTCCTGAGAGATTTCTATGTCCGTAAGTCGGTGTTTGGTGAGGGGCGAAGAGCTGCCAGTGCAGCGAACGGGGCCTGTTTACGGCCTGGCGGACACTTGAGACTAGAGACAAAGATGAGGGCTCGATGAAAAGACTCTTCTCCAATCTGCCAGTGATTTCGTAGCGATGTGTAGGCAAAACTAAACCCGATTGAATTGCTAGCCGAAAATCTCCCTATTCGATTTACCCTCGTTGCCCTAAACGCCGCCCCAAGGGAATTCTAGCCGATGCCGTACAACACGCGTCGCGGCGTGGACCGAGTAGTGCAGTGGTAAACCGCACGGGTCCATCTCCAAAATTGTCCCTGAGGGGTCTGGCCAGCAACACCTGAAAATAAATTTGGAAGGAGCTGTGTGTCAGACGCAGAGGCTGGCTAAGGAAAACAGAATGCTGTAAAAATTCTTTTTGCCAGTGGTTACCCACGAGGGCTGATTTAATCGTGTGAGCAGATAGACCATGGCACCTTTTCTCGCCCTCTCGAGCCTGACGCTCTCTAGAGCACAAAACAATCTCTCATGTGTACAGCCATGTACAAGGGCTTGAATTCCATGACTACCAGCCATGAGATGTCTGTTCATGCAGGGAAACCACAAGCTCGAATTCCACCATTGTTACAAGAAGTCGCATATTCTGCGACCCGATTGGGGCATTTATCTAAATTCAGTCTGATCTAAACCTTGTATTTTCTCATTCATAGATTTGAAGGGGTTGTCTGGATGTGCAAATTACAGACAGAGGATTAGGTCATGTTGTAGGACGCGTAGCAAACTCGGTAGAATCTATAATTCTGACCGGTTATCTCGGTATCCAAGTTGATGATTTTTATATTATATCATGGTAAGATTAATACAATCAAATTTCAGGTTGATAGACACTTTCTGGGGGCATGAAAAGTCCTGGCGTATCGGGTAGTTTTCAGCTAGTCAACAAAGACCGATTCCTCACAACAGACATATCACTCGTACAAGCTCGTTTGAAGATTTCATCTCGGCTGAAAAGTAATTTCAATTTATTATGTAATGCCAGAGATGTTTTAATCTCTCGTGTAAGATGTGGAAGGCGATAGGGGAAGGATTTTTGAAAACTTGAGGTGAGATCACTGGTCCAGGCTCTTCTCGCATGGAACTTTTAGTGCTTTTCATCAAAGTCTTGGATCCAGCTTAAACGCTTGACAAATTCTTACATCAAAAAGGTTACGGATGTGGAGAAAAACGCTAATCAGGTCCTCTTGCTTGAAAATACACCTTACGAATGATGGATTATAAGAATGAACAATAGAATATTGAATATCAGGGCGCATTATGAGTCACTGAGACATATGAAGAAGTGTAGTGCAAAAGGTACATCGTCGCCAGCGTCGCCCGTCTCGAAATGTCTGGTTATAAAGTTAATTGTTTGCAAGGGTTCCCATTTACGTGGGTTCGAGGGTAAAGACGTTGTTCTCTTTTCACAACGCTTTCCGAGGTGGGACACAAAGACTTGACTTCTATTATCGCCGCCCCGCACAAATCTCGAGCTCTTCCTAGAGATCCCAGCTGGAATAACATGTCAGATTCGAGCCGAGCTTTCTACCTTGTCTCGAAAGGTACGCAACGACATCCATCATGACAACAACGACGATGAAAATGACGCTGACTAAGAGAATGGATAAAGCAGTACTATAGGTCGCGGAGCTAGGCTGGTAAGCCATCGGCATCAAATACAGGCTACCATTGTGCAAGTGAACAAGAAGCCCATGAGCGTAGAAATATACTCTTTCATCGTCGAAATAATGCCTCTTCATTCAGATGATCAAATCTTGCTAGACAGGATAGACTCTTTATCATACAAACCATTCAGACCACTCGTTCTTATGAATGATTTTGGATGCTAAGCCACGCTTCGATAGAGTCGTACTTTTAGACCAAAGCTTCACCGATATCCTATTGTTTGTACTATGAGAATAATCCTGTGAGAAAACTTGAAGGGAATGAGCTACGCCTGGATATACAGCTATTCCATGCCTCCGGCCAGACGGCTGCTCCGAGCGCTCCAGAACAGCAGCCTTGACTTTGGATTCATCTTTATTCTAAGTGGTAGGGGAGTTATCTATTCAACTGGTTTTGAATATCATGTTATTTGTTTACTTTTACGTCCTAGGTAGAAATCTTTTATCTATCTAGATGTAGGACTGATGGAGCCGGCCGAGACTTAATCTCGAGGCCTGCCCTACTTGTTTACCCTCATTTTAGAGCCAGTCCGTATTGCGCTCTTTGTGCAGGTGAAACCGTGAACTAGAAATGAATAAAAGAAACTATAATTGTTGTTTAATCGGCATTCCTCGTAATGAGCTCTCCGCCGCCGCCAGCGTTCTAGTCCAGGCTTTTCTCCCAAAAACTATTCCTGCATATCGCAGAGTGCTGGTGTGCGTCCAGTCTACCAAAGCAACCTGTAGCCTGCGCAAAATTTTAAGCTTCTCCAACCCTTCATGTCCGAGGAGCCGCCTTACAATCCAATCAAAGCCCACGTCATCTCTAGTTTTACGCGTCAGATTATTGTATCTCAGATAGCATATAAAGTGGGCGCGCGTTTTTTCTAGCCCAGGCCTGCAAACTGGTCTGCATCTTTGTGCTCCAAGCGGCACTGTTATGCCGCTAGATCCCCATGCCAATTTCTTGCAGTCATGATTTTGTGAAATAATCTCCGTGGCAGTGGTAGTTCTGGGGCTTACGTCGTCGTATTAGCAGGTCCAAGTGTTGGTATCGAGCTGTTCAAGCCGTTTGCCACCATTCATCTATCAATTCTTGTCTTAATTTTTGCATGAGACGCCGAAGGTGAGCAAGATTGATATTGCTGGGGTTATCTGGCTGTTATGAGGGAACTGTTGTGGATTTCCATCCATCACGATTGAAACAGTATGATAACAAGTATAACCCGTAGCCAGCCTGGCTCCGTCACTTTGGCGTACGTTCAGCGTCTGATGAACCAGAAACGTCAGGCTCTTCTCGAGGAATGGTGGGAAGAAGTATGTCCACCTAGGTATCGAAATCTGGGTCTTCTCATGCGACGACGCAAGCCACAGGAGCAGGCACTCTCCCGGCGGCTACTCCGTGAACTGATCTCAGCCTGAACGGGACACGGAAACTTCGCTGCATGTCACCGTCGTTTCAACAACTTCACCGCTTCCATGGAGTGTGTGTGTGGAGAGGAAACATCACCTCTCCACTTCATTCACTGTCGACTGCACGAACGTCAGACGCGTCGACTCCGAAGGAAAATGTCACATCATGACTTTATCCTCAAGCTTCGCGGGCCTAAGTGCCTCGGGAACTTTACAAATTTTGCGGAAACCGGCTGCCTCGGCGACTCACCTGCAAGTCCGTCACCAGCTCTCAGCGGAGACAACATTAACTAGATCATAGCACGAAGCATGACAGGAAGGAAAACGAGACGAGGAGTGTCGCTTTCCCACCTCAAATTGGAGTATTGGATTTGGAATTTTGGTTATGGGAGTCTGTGGGAGCATTTATATTCTTTCTTATAACTAGCTACTGGTTGTGTAGTGGGTCACGCAGTGAGACCGAGTCGGGCATGTGGGAAGCATGATCTTGGCCGTGTACACCGGTCCCTGACTCCTAGGAGATATAGAGCATAGCTTAGGACCTAAAATTTATAAAAATAAAAGTATAATCCGTGTCTCTACTACAGCTAGTTCCGCAGAATGCTAGAGTTCGGCTTGAGTTCTAATATATTTTGTGTATCTCCATCACTCACTCGCAACTCCCAAAGGACATGCTCCTCGCTATCTACAAGGAAAAAATTCAAATTCATCGTATCTGAATAAATCGAATATAGCTAGCTTTTTTCAGGTAGAATCTGGAAGTCCCCCATAGTCACATACTCAAATAGGGGTTTAACAAAATTACATCTAATCCCAACTCCAAAATCTAAAATTAGTGTGTACCTTACTAATCATAAGCTAACAGCATTTAATAGTCTAGGTTACATTTTGTTTTGTATTCATTATCCTGATCTGGCGCACTATGGGCCCATGCAGGTGGCTGTAAACCTATCTATATATTTACATCGGAGGAAGCCTCTCGGTGGAAAACCCCCAAGCTTTCTGATTTAATTCTAAGAGTTTGCAATTTATCCTTCAGGAAGCACAGTTACACTATAACGCCGTCGATGTGTACCAATCACGCCCCTTCTATCGACCCCAACCTTGTACATGTTCTGTCTCGTTCCCTGAGCTGCATTTCGACTGCATTTTTCATGCGGAATTGTTCAATCCAACCATGATTAAGAATCCATCGTGTGATTCTTTTCATATTGCTGGGATTGTTGGTCATTGCTTCAAAGCAGCAATTTCGGGCTTGTCTCCAGATTTCTCCTCTACCGATTGACCACTAGGGCCAGGGCATGATCATGTGCTTGGGATTTTGTAATTGGTAGCCACACGGACAACTTGGCTGATAAACTCCTGCTACTTTTCTTCTGTATGAATAAGAGTTGAGCCCGATATTCTCGCTTCGAATTTGGACTGCTAAGCTACTTTTGGTCCTCGTCAGGCTTTTGTGGAGAGAAAATGATGACTCCCGGAAGCTTATTTTCGTACGTCCAGAATGGCGGCATTGGTAGAACTTTGCTGCTGCCCAAGTTATAGAGTCTAGGTTACATTATTTAGCCTTCTACCCTCAGCATCCACTTTTTTTTCGACACCTATCAGTTGTGTCCCCTACGAGCCTTCAGCTCTCATTATAGAGTCTGCGGAGCCGAGATTGAGTAACAAAGTCTTCACTTTGACGAGGATTCATAGCCGCTTTCGCCGTCTGTATCGTCTTCATCTCTCGACACATCCCCTTATCACTTTTATCATGAAGCTAACCACGATTAGATCATATGGTAGGATCGGAGCCCTACTAATCACCAACCATTGATCATGGAGGAAAAGCCATCCGATGAGTTTCCGGAGCGAGCCCAGCACCCGATACGGAGATGGTGATTTGAATTAAGTTGGCCTCGATTATTACAAGGGAGATGTAGATGAATATGCGCCCCTCATGTGGTCCCGGTGTCTAGTCCTCGCCTGGCTGGGGCAGTAGGTTTTTTGAGATTTTTTCCCGGGCACGCAGTTTCCATTGCTACCATTTTTTTGAGTAGAAGGTTCCGTGGAAGAGTATTATGGTTTTTATATGATTTGGGAATGTAAACTTGCGCTGGAAAAGCTAAGATACTTCGTGGAGAGATTTCTTCATTTATATGCAGAAATGAAGTTATCCTGATACTTGTTATGTTACAAATCAGGGAAAGCTCGTCCCTTATCCTCTGGCTTGTTCGCTTGCAAACCGATCACGTAACCAGTATGCAGCTCACCAAAGTGTGCTCCCAACCGGGCAGCCATGCCATTTGTCCCATATCAACAACCCATCTCTCGTACTGTGCACATTACCACTTGTAATGTTGTTAAGTAGAGACTGGATCTCCTTCATGCGCCAAATACGTTGCTACCATAATAACTACCTATGCACCAGCTACTAGATCTACCATACCATACAGCTGAGCTTAACACGAATGGACCTGGGTCTGTCTGGGGGTCATATTCAAACAAACAATATCTCTCAATCTCATTTTATATTTGCGACGAAGCACTTCTCAGTCGACCCTATACCTGCGACCCACTTATATACTCGTCTGATCACCTACCTACACACGCCCTAATGAGGAAAGTCATGATGGAAACGGGACGTGTACAAAGGAGGAAGAAGAGGGAGGATGCACCGAGGGGATTACACAAATCCCCAACGATGAAAACTACCCAATGGTATGATATGAAGGTGCAAGGCTAGAGCAACGATGAGATCTGGGACGAAATTTATATATCGGAATCAATTGGGATGTCAAGGGCTTGGGCGCGTGGTGGCCGAGGCTGAGGAGGAATTTGCGACATGGCGTGTATACAGCGGGGTTCTGGACGGTTAGGCTTGGTATGATTCAACACATGGGTGAAGTCTGAGGCGGTCCGGTCATAGAGATGGGACGAGGTTTATCTGAACTTCACAGTAGTTAACCTGATCCGGCCCGGCCCCACACGTGCTTAAGCTCCAGTAGGACTGCGATAGGTGACATACACCTAGCACGTAAATAATCAGAATAGAAAAATTTGTACAAGGGCAAGATTGGCTGCCGTCAAGGAGCCTAGCTAGTCATCCAAAAGTCGTTACGGACGTTGAGTTGTCATGTAGTTCATGTACATTAGATGCCTTCCTGGCTAGCAGTTTGGAATTGAATGTTAGAGAAAACGATATTGTAAACGAGCCAAAATTTGCTTTTCTTATATGCGAAAGGGCCTCAAGCAATGCTTTAGGTAGCTCATATCAGGCAGCTAGTGGCTATTATATTTTAGGATCAACAGCGGCTTCTTTAACCAACTTTGTGATGATTGGTACCACGATAATTATCTTCATTCCCAGCAGCATATTCGTCATCAAACTCGTCGCAAGTGTTATCGAAGCGTAACCTCAGAAGAGGAGATAACTTGGCCCAAGATTTAGGAGACGGCTCATTACGGCACTGAAAACTAAATGGTGATAGTAGAATGTTCGTATCGGACATCGCCGACTGATATTGAATTTTATTCTCAATCTGGTATCCGACTAGAATAATGCTGTCGTTGTCAAGATAAATTCATGGCTATCTAGATTTCTGTTCCCCTAACATAGGGTTAAGCAATGCTCTTGCAAAGCGGGCTCCAGCTAAAAGCTAATCAGTGACGTAATGCAATCTTTGGTCTAGCTGGCGGTTATTATTTTGAGCTTGGACCTATGTCAGTAGTGCGATCGCCAGTGGACACCACATATCAACACACAAGCTGCATGACAGTTGTCACCACAATGTTGCTCTACAATAAGTTTACACATTAGGTCCAAACAAAGTAAAAATTCGAAACTCTACGGCAAAATTTACTACGCTCTCAAGTGCTGAAGAAATGTTAGCCAAACACCATAGAATTTGATCTCCAGGATTTATTGACCAAACACTACATTTTTGGGAAAGCATTTGAACAGTCTTCAGTATCCAATGACTGTCGCGATACCAATCGAACATAAAAATTGGAAGAATAACTCCAGATCATCATCTGTCTTTTACATCTCGAATGAGTGGACGCAAGCGGAAGGCTGAAGAACAGTTAGAGCGGACTACAATCCCTGGTAGTGTAAGTTACGCGTCAAAACTCATTCAAGTTCTGGTAAAAAGATTAACATACTCCTAGCCATATAGTGATGCTAACTCTTCTAAAAACATGATTTCTCAAATAACTTCATTCTTTTGGAACTGGATTAGGTCATTCAGTGAACTCGAAAGCACTCCAGCTTCTGCAGAATCAGATCCAACAATATTTAGTACGTTTACAAGCTACCACAATTAATCATAACTCATTTACATGTAGAAGCAAGTCAAAATTCACTCCTAAATAAGAATGCAATCCCGGATATCCCATCGAAAAGTCTTGCGGCTGACCCCACAAACTCGAACATAAATAACACGGCTATTTCAAATAGGACTATCAAAAATCGGATCGTAGACATAGATGGATATGATAAAAACAAAGCTCGTCGTATTGTTGATCAGTACTGGGAGCCTAAGCCCCTTCCATGGGAGAAAAGTACGCCGCCAACTAATAGCTTATATTCCACTCTAGTAACTACAACTGACCAGAAAACCAACTTGGAACAAAGATCTCTATTAAGGATAACGCAAGATCCTACCAGGCTATCAATTAGACATGATCTACACGTAAAGACATCCTTACCTGAAAGAGTTCCCCATGCTGATCATGGGTCTCCTGGCATGCCGCATGATTGGAAAAATTTGGAAGATTCATTAAATAGCCTCTTTCTCAGTGATAGTGATCAGCTTACCCTGTCTAAATTCAAGGCTGAAAAATATCGTGTTCTCGCTGAAGAGAGAAATGAAAAGAAGAGGCTAGAATCTATTCATGAAGCAAGACAAAGACGACTCCGACGGCTGCTGCCCCTGGAAAACCTGGTCCAAATTTTAAATCCTAATTGGGAAAATCGAGTAAACAAAGCACATCTTACTAGGAATAATGACCCTTTAACTACATCCATCGGTGGAACTGAACTGAGGATCAAAGACTTCAGGACGCTGTTGGATATAAGATCGTGGCTGAATGATGAAATAATTAATGCTTACATTGAATGGATCGTAGATGCTGCAAACAAAGCTGCCAATGTGGAGGCTGCTGCTCTTGGCTTGCTACGAAGCTCTACTCCTAGATTTATAGCACACAATAGCTTTTTTTATCAAAGTTTGAGTAAAAAGGGACCCGAAAGCCAAGATAGGCTTATGAAAAAGAAAGGGGCTCCTGGCTTAACATTATTGGAGGTTGATTCGGTTTTCGTGCCTATATGTAACGGCTCACACTGGACTCTTGGAGTCGTTAGACCGATTGCAAAGACGATTGAATATTTTGATTCGATGGGGGGTAGTCCAACCAAGTTTATATCACGAATGCGAGATTGGCTGAAACATCAACTAGGTGCCGCTTATGTCTCTAGTGAGTGGGAGGCACCCAAAACATTATGTGCAAATCAGACAAATGGTTACGATTGCGGTGTATTTGTGTGTACAAATGCACTTTGCGTCGCTGTAGGGCTTGATACGTCTTGCTATGAAGAAAGTGACATGAAACTTCAACGTAGAAATATTGCGGCTGTCTTGCTTAACCGTGGATTTCAAGGAGATTTTGCGTGGAAAGTACAAGGAAACGGTCTTTTTTATTAGAAAAATATGGGTACGACAAACACTCAAACGACGGAGTAATGGATGGACGGAAAGATACCCCACATTGATTTCATTACTGGTTTATCAAAGATCACACAGAAGGTCCAGAAATACTGATTAGGGTGTGTTTATAATTACCAAAATGAGCTACGCAAATCACAATCAGACTATAAGATAAGGCCATAAAATATTGTAGATATGAACGGACTTTAATTTCATTTAACCCGTCCAGGTACCCTATGTTCCATGCAACTATATAAACTGATATTTACCGATAGGAAACTAACTTGATGAAAACCCTCTTGCCGTAACTTTTCTGTGTCTATCGGCTTTCTAGGCCATCCTTCGGAAAGTACGTTTACACGTCTCATTCAATGTGAATTCGGTCCTATTCTTTTGACGATTGTTTCATTCTTCCCTGCCATCCCAACTTCTTGTGCAGGTGGGAACTGTTCAAGTTAGCCTTTAGTTGGTATTCACTTTGTAATCCTTTTCAAAGAGTCAAGGCTGTTTATATTGGTTTCATAAGACCTATATTTTTCCCGTCGTAGCACTCTTCCTCTTCCCCTTAAATCAATGAGGACAAGCCAAGACCATATGGTTGACGTTTTGTGACGGATATCCACACCGGAATTTTGGATTTGTCACACCTGGCACCTTCCTTCTATGTGGGTAAGAATTTAGGCCGATATGCTCACTACTCACTTGTAATGAGATACTAATTTGCGCTCTGCTAAGTTTTAGGTGGATGTCAGCGGTCGTATTCCTGTGGGTGATACTTTTTCTGACTGTTCTTTTAACAGTGCAGATGTCTGCTTCTTTTCCATATTCTGGGTCTAGGTCTGACCATGACCAGACAACTAATCTTTTTTGGCCGTATCCACGAGCCTTGCTACTCCTGAAATTCTGCCATTATACCAACTTCATCGTGTCTCATCGGCCTTTTCGTGTCACGAATCTTGTTCCATTCAAACATGTTTTGTCTTCTATTACTGGCATGACTAATTTCGAACCTGTTACCATTTTATTTGATTACATAAAGACCGACGCCGCAATGTTTTTTGTGAGCGCCGCAAGGATTATATGGAGCCGTGATACAGTTGCAACGTTTGGAGTTGGTAGGAATGAGGCGTTTGAGAAACCTTAAGCTTTCGATTCTTTTTCAATGGCATCAAACAGAAGCCGCTAGCTTATTACAGCATCTTGAGTAGATTGAAGATGCAACAAAAAGGGTTGCTGGATGGAAAGAGAAGCATTTTTTTGTGAAAGTTCTGGTTGGACAATAAACACTGATTCCGAAGATGAGGTTGATTCATGTCGTGCAGAATATCATATGGGTGCGTTGACCCTTGGATATCGTAGTAGCTGATGAGAGCTTTTTAACTAATTCATTTGGTTGTCCTATCTTAGTCTGTGACTATATAGGACATGGCTAATGAGAGCTTGCATGTTTTGAGAAAAATTACAAATATACTGCTGTGAATAAAGTATTCTGTTGTCACTTGTACATGGCCATTACGTCAAATAATTTGCACTAGAGGGACGAAGAGTGAGGACCTAACGGTAGTGTCCTCTACCATCCTGGGCATGGAATACTGTCCCAGAGACAAGTTAAGTCAATTTCGCAAGACCAACCAAGTTGGCCCACGAGGCAATGATTCCATACTCCAAATTAAGTCAGTATCACACTACTTTTAGAATTGATTCTGGCCACCCCTCATCTAGTCCGCAAATATAATCTAGTACATCCTTACTTCAATAACCATACCTCTCGTCGATCCAGTCTCTGGCCTCAGGTAGCCTCCAGGTACACGGATACAACCGGCAAAGATGGATTCTTCACTTTCCAGTGGTACCGGTGTAATCGCTCAGTATACTCTGCATATCTGGGATAGCCAGGAAGAATCGCTTCGAACCGAAGTCGAAAGCAAACGCATACATATCTCTATTTGACGGCTCCTCAATCATGCAGTACTAACCATTATCTTCTGAATCCTCAACCTCTTTCTAGCCACATATCATCTCGCCCTAATGACCGATAAAGGCATCACCCCAATTCCAAACAGGAGCTTGCCTCATTGATCACCGGTCATCACTCACTACAAATTTACGACGCCTCGTGAAGCCGCAAGGAGGAAATCAAGTCAAAAAATATAGAGCCTGGGTCTTGGCTTATGGAGGACTGTTACCCTAATGGGATTACACATCTTGAGGGAGGTGTCAGATTGGAGCGTAGGCGTTTGAGCTGAAGCGGGATTAGAGGGCGAGAAGAGGTTGGATGGATCGCAAGAAATGACTGAAGGTCTACTGGAGATAACTTGGAGGAACTAAAGGTTTGATAGATGGGTAACATAAATAGCTAAAAGGTCTAAGGGTTCGAGTGGGTACTAATGGTAACTAAAGATACAAGAGGTAACTGGAGGTGATTAAAGGTTACCAGAGGTAATCCGAAGGTGGTGGTTGTAACAGAGAACTAGGCGGATGGAACTTTAGATCCCTAGACCAAGCCATCATGTATATATACTCGCTTTCCTTCCACTAGCTCATCATAACTTGGGCCCTAAACTAGTACCAACATAATCACAAGTGCCAAGAACTGTTCTGTTGTCATAGCAACGTAGAAAGGATGGTAAAAGTGAGGTAACAAATTCCTAGGATGGCACGGTGGTAAAATGTGGATATACGAAAATCGTAGGTCATCAGTGTCTCTAGATTTCTGCTGTATCTTCTATGTAGTGAAATCTTAAGAAGGTGTATGACTGTCCTCTAAAATTACAGGATGTGTCTAGTTTTGTTTTGTTCATTAACGTGCTAGGTTACATAGCTACCGTTGCACTCCTATTGGAGCTTAAGCACGAGTGGGGTCGAGCCGGTTCAGTTTAACTACCGTGAAGTACAGATAAACCTCGTCCTATCTCTATGACCGGACCGCCTCAGACTTCACCCATGTGTTGAATCATACCAAGCCTAACCGTCCAGAACCCCGCTGTATACACGCCATGTCGCAAATTCCTCCTCAGCCTCGGCCACCACGCGCCCAAGCCCTTGACATCCCAATTGATTCCGATATATAAATTTCGTCCCAGATCTCATCGTTGCTCTAGCCTTGCACCTTCATATCATACCATTGGGTAGTTTTCATCGTTGGGGATTTGTGTAATCCCCTCGGTGCATCCTCCCTCTTCTTCCTCCTTTGTACACGTCCCGTTTCCATCATGACTTTCCTCATTAGGGCGTGTGTAGGTAGGTGATCGGACGGGTATGGAGGTAGGTCGCAGGTGTAGGATCGATTGAGACATGCTTCGTCGCAAGTATAAAAGGAGTTTAAGAGATGTCGGATGTTTGAGTACGACCCCCAGATAGACCTAGGCCCAATCGTGAATCGTATGTTGGTGGTGATGACTTTTTGTTTGACGTTGTTCCGACTGTGAAATCTCTGCCGACTGATTTTTCGACCAAAATATCGAGTGCAACTCATTCAAGTCGAAAATCTATCAATTAAAATTCATCCCACCCATCTTCGTGACTGAATCTCGGCTCTGGGAGAATATTTCACTCCCAGGTTCGTAGAGGACACCACTGACAGGTGTTCAGCCTTCGTCCTCCAGAATGTGTCTAGTATATACAGATTTGGAGCTTAGTGCGCATTATGCATAAAGACTGGGGTACACGTGACAAATTATCATACAATGTTTATGATCAGGGATCCTCAAAAGTATGAAATGAAGTATGAATGACAAGAGGAATCCATGTACGTGGTCAGCTGTGCTAAAAACCTTAAACTGTAATAATTTTTGTTTGCATACCCACTGTAACTCTAGGATATGCGAACATAAATTCGCGTTTTACATGTAACTTAGAATTTCAATGGAAATAATACTCCCTGAGCTATACTTTCTGCTCCTCTTACTCTGAAATAGCAACAGGAACCCCAAAAGGACTGGGGGACTATTCTCAATATTGAAAGGCTGAGGGCTATGGATAGGGAGACGTCACCTTGTGAATAGAATACTGATAGGTATGGGAGAATTCAATAGATCACTTGGACAGAGTAAGATGATTGATTGATGGTGAATTGTATTTGTGTATAATTGATATATATACTGAGAGTAAAAAGGCCCTGTCTATATACAGGAGTTCCTACCCTCATTCCTCTACATGTTATTGTCTATGATAGCTAGAGTAACTACAATGGTGTCCTCATTGTAGTAAACACGTTGATGTTAGTGTGTAGCGACCAGGAGGCAATAGTGATCAGACTCTAAGGGGTTAACTTTGCTGGTGCACAGTTATCCCCTGAAGGTGTGTGCAGTTATGAACTCGGATTTTTACAACACTCAAAACCTGTCAGTGGTGTCCCCTACGAATCTCCAGCTCTCACTGTAGAGTCTGGAGAGCCGAGATTGAGTAACAAAGTCCTCACTTCGACGAGGATTCCCAGCCGCTTTCGCCGTCTATATCGTCTTCATCTCTCAACACATCCCCCTACCACTTTTATCATGAAGCTAACCACGATTAGATCATATGGTAGGATCGGAGCCCTACTAATCACCAACCTTTGATCATGGAGGAAAAGCCATCCAATGAGTTTCCGGAGCGTACCCAGCGCCCGATACGGAGATGGCGGATTGGATCAAGTCGACCTCAACTGTTACAAAAAAGGGAGATGTAGATAAATAGTTGCTCCCCATCTAGTGCCGGTGTCTAGGCCTCAGCTGGCTGGGGCTGCATCTTTTTTGAGACTTTTTCCCGCGCACGCAGTTTCCATTGCCACCATTTTTTTTTTTTGGGTAGAAGGTTCCGTGGAAAAGGTGGCCAAAATCTACGGGTAGGTACTGAGCTAAGTGGCTATTCATCAAGGGAAATATATCAATGATCTTTCAAGTAACGAATGAGGCAAGGAGCAGAAGGGCAAGACTGAACACCTGTATGCGGTGTCCTCTACGAACCTGGGAGTGAAATATTCTCCCAGAGCCAATTTCAGTCAAATTTCGCAATAC